TGAGGGTCGATATATATTGAAAGTTACAAGTTCATACCATATACCGTTTAAGAAAAAAACCGCGGAGAAGTATTGTCCGGAAAAAAAAGAAAGATTTACCATAACAATAACAGAGAGTGGTCGGGTTGTACCCGACCACTCAACTAGAGGTTTGCGTTTGTTGTTACAAACGCAGAGTTTGATAAAATTCAGTAAACATTCTATGTACACATTTAAGTTATTTCTGGCTTGATGACGTAATTATTCAAAAACGAAAAGTGAACACTGATTTAGTTCGGAGTGGATACATGTTCATTGTGCGGAAGTTAAATAATGTATGAAAATATGAAAAATAACAGCATTGCTGTTGAAACCCCTCAGCCAGAGTCAAGTTATCATCTGGAAACCATTAACCTGTAACTCAACATGGTGACCTTGACCTTTGGCCTTTGACCCCAGAACCAGTCTCAACATGCCTGTACCAATGGGAAACCCCCTACCTAAATCAAACACCAAAATCTCGTTTCTAACTCAAGTTATCATCCGGAAACCATTTACATTTAACTCACCACGGTGACCTTGACCTTTGACCTTTTGACCCCAAAACCAATCCCAACTTGCCTACTCCAAAGGGCAACCCTCTACCAAAGTTAGACACCAAAATCTCATTTCTAACTCAAGTTATCATCCGGAAACCATTTACATGTAACTCAGCACGGTGACCTTGACCTTTGACCTTTTGACCCCAAAACCAATCCCAACTTGCCTACTCTCAAGGGCAACCCCCTACCGAAAGTTAGACATCAAAATCTCATTTCTTACTCAAGTAATCATCCGGAAACCATTTACATTTAACTCACCATGGTGACCTTGACCTTTGACCCAAAACCAATCCCAACTTGCCCACTCCCAAGGGCAACCCTCTACCAAAGTTAGACACCAAAATCTCATTTCTAACTCAAGTTATCCGGAAACCATTTACCTTTAACTCACCACGGTGACCTTGACCTTTTGACCTCAAAACCAATCCCAACTTGCCTACTCCTAAGGGCAACCCCCTACCGAAGTTACAACCCCAAACAACATTTCTAACTCAAGTTATCATCCGGAAACTAAGCTACCCGGACGGCCGGCCGGACGGACGGACGCCCTAGGCGATGACAATACCCCTCGAGCCTCTCGGCTGAGGGGTAAAAATGTAAGTGTATGTATTCATAACATCTAACTTCCAGTTTGATAACGTCACAGTATTTGGAAGCATGCCAAAAGTGGACATTGTAATGGATATCATTATTTGGGCTACGAAGATATTCAACATGGATCAAATGATATAAAATAGACTTAAAATGCGGGTCGTTTTCAAATTCTCACAGAAGTAACTTCCGGTCTGATGACGTCATGAATTTGAAACCTTGCTAAGTTATCTGTGGTTATTCAAAGAATATCAAGGGGCGATTTGATAAAGTTTGAACGGATGGTTTTCAAATTAAAGAAAGCAAACACTGTTTTATGTGTCGCTAGGGGGCGCCCTTTCGAAAGATTACGTAATCACACTGTGTTTGAGTCTGGCATTCCTCACTCAACACTTTCATAATTTATATGAGTGTAGTAAAATGATTCTGCTTTTGAGTTATATTAGGTTTTTATTGCACTTCCGGTAACACCGGAAGTGAAGGTCAAGCGGTTTTGTGTCCGGGAACAAGAAATGTTACTCGCGGCATAGTCTACAACCTCATGAAAAAACGAACACGATTATCTATTTAGTTCAAAAGATATAGCGTAAACTATTTTGTCAAAATTTGCCCTTAAATCGCTTGTAATTTGATACCCGATGACGTCATGCTGACGTAACAAAATGTATAACATCTTCGTAACATGGTAAAAATTCACACAAGGTTTTGTGATTGTACCGTAAACCATTTGGAAGAAATTTTGCTTTGTTTTGATTTCAGGCTAACGTCTTCATTTTGAATTCATCCAACTTTGACCTTCCGGTAGACCCGGAAGTAAAGGTCAAGCGAGTTTACTTACATGACAAAAAATGTTGAACAATTAATGGTCTTATCTCATCACAGAATACAAACATCATTGATTATTTAGTTCAAGAGTTATAAGTGAAAGTAATTGGTCACTTTTCCACCTAAAATCGCTTGTAATTTGACAGCCGATGACGTAATCATGACGTCAGAGTAATATGCACCACTAAGGATGAGGGTCGATATATATTGAAAGTTACAAGTTCCTATCATAAACCATTCAGGAGAAAACCCGCGGAAACGTGCTGTACGGAAAAAAAAGAAAGAAAGAAAGAAAGATTAATCGTAACAGATCCAAAGAGTGGTGGGTTGTGCCTGACCACTCAAAGAAAGATTAACTAGAGGTTCGCATTTGTTGTTACAAATGCAGAGTGGTCGGGCAGGCAATTTGTATATAAACACCGCCGAGTTGAGTTATGAATATGTTTATGTAAGAAAATGGATCACAAAATTAAATCCTTTCCAATACAATCAATCATTGTTTAAAAAAATGCATCTTTAACGGTGTGATAAATTTTAGTAGACATTTTATGTACACATACAAGTTATTTCCGGCTTGATGACGTCATTATTCAAAAACGGGAAGTGAATACTGATTTAGTTCGGAGTGGATAAATGTTTGTTGTGAAGTTAAATAATGTATGAAAATATGGAAAATATAACTGTATGTATCCATAACACCTAACTTCTGTTTTGATGACGTCACAGTATTTGGAAGCAAAAGGTGAATATTGTAAGGGATATCGTTATTTGGGCTACGAAGATATACGACATAAATCAAATGATAGAATTAAATTTAAAATATCGTTTTCAAATTCTCATAGAAGTAACTTTTGGTTTGATGACGTCATGAATTTGAAACCTTGCCAAATGATCTGTGGTTAATCAAAGAATATCAAGAGGCGATTTGGTGATATTTTAACGGATGGTTTTCAAATTTAAGAAAGTACTATTTAATATGCCGCTAGGGGGCGCCCTTTCGAAAGATGAGGTCATTACACTGTTTTGTGTCTGGCATTCCTCGAAAAACACTTTCATTATATATATGTGTGTAGTAAAATGCTTCCGCTTTTGAGTTGTACTCTGTTTTTATTGCACTTCCGGTAACACCGGAAGTGAAGGTCAAGCGGTTTTGTGTCCGGAGACAACAAGTGTTTCTCACAGCATATAGTCTACAACCTCACGAAAAAACAAACACGATACTATATTTAGTTCAAAAGATACATGTATAGAGCAAACTATTCTGTCAAAATTTGCCCTTAAACCTCTTGTAATTTTTATACATGATGACGTAATAATGACGTAACAAAATATAGTACCTTCGTAACGTGGTACAAGTTTACACTAGGTTTAATGATCATACCGTAAACTGTATGGACGAAATTTTGCTTTGTTTTGATTTTAGGCTAAAGTCTCATTTTGAATTCACCTAAGTTTAACCTTCCGGTAGACCCGGAAGTAAAGGTCAAGCGAGTTCACGTACACGACAAAAAATGTTAAGCAATTAATGGTCTATATCTGATTACAGAATACAAACATCATTGATTGTTTAGTTCAAGAGTTATAGGTGAAAGTAATCGGTCACTTTTTCAGATAAAATCACTTGTAATTTGACACCTGATGACGTAATCATGACGTCAGAGTATATGCACCACTTCGGATGAGGGTCGATATATATTGAAAGTTACAAGTTCATACCATATACCGTTTAAGAGAAAACCCGCGGAGAAGTATTGTCCGGGAAAAAAAAAGAAAGAAAGAAAGAAAGAAAGAAAGATTAATCGCAACAAATCCAAAGAGTGGTCGGGTTGTGCCCGACCACTCAATGACACGAATTTGGCCTTTTATTTGGAATCACTCTTTTCCTCCCACATTTTCGTTTTATGCTTTAACACGTTGACATACCAGGTTAATTTAATATCATCAAAAAGCAGAAATTTGGGTTAGATTGTTGGTGTTTTGTTTATATGCCAGATGTGCCCCCATCCTAAAGGGGAAGAATACGTTTCAATTCAAGAAAGTTAAACTTGCTTTGATGTACGGCCAAGAGGCGTCCTTTCGGATTGACATTATCATGCCGTTTTTTTGTGTTTGGCATTCCTCACTAAATATTTCCTTAATTTGTTTGCTTGTGTAAAATGTTTCCATTTTCAAGTCATAATCAACTCTCATTCTCAAAAATCAAAATAAGTGTGTACATTTGTCTCCCCCCCCCCCAAAAAAAATTGCAGCATTTTAAGGACTTGCATATAATTTACATGTAGGCACCATCATTAAAATGGAGTATATTTGAAAAATGTTTGGTTAAAAGCTGGGCGTCAAACATATCTTAACTTCAAAACACATGTGAATCGAGAAGTGCATGTATTAAAAATATCACACAGTTGACTAGACACTATTTCATTTGGCATTGTCTTAACTCAGTTGTATGTTTAATTAAAAGGAAGAACAAGTATGAAATTCAAACATTTGAGTTCAAGCATTTATGATGTTGAACAAATGCACCTTCAGGGATCCATACATGTAGATTTCAAAACACATTTTATTTACACGTCACTTCCGGTTGGATGATGTCATCAGATAAAATGTGCATTATAAATGCTTATATGTAGTTTTAATAGACCGGTTATGCGAGATGAAGTGAAAAGAACTTCTGAAAATATGAAAATAGCATGAACGTATGTGTACGTATTTATGACACCCGACAACCATTTTGATGACATCACAGCATTAGTGTGCCCACCGTCAAAAGTGAAGCTGAAATCATTATTTTGGCAACAATGATCCCCAGTAGGTACTGTCTGATGGATTGTAATTTTTTTTAAATGTAAAAAAAATATTCTGCCTAGAAAGCAGGAAGTTGTGGGTCCAGTCACAACCGAATGATTTTTACTCACTTTCACTCGGGAGGCAACTCACTGAGTATACAGTGATACACGTCGGTGAAGGGCAAAACCTTATATTAGTTTACATCACCAGAACGCAAATTCCACCTTATGAATGCCTTTATTTGAACCACTTTCCAATAAACAATTCTATTCTAGGACCAAATAACAAAACTAATTATTTTCTCTAAAACTTAGTTAGTTACATGTACATGTATAGAGCCGCCCCCCCCCCTCCCCAGTCATCACTGAATGGCAAATGTAATTTGCTGTCAAATTGCCAAATGACAAAGATTATCTGTTCCAAGACGATCTTTCTGGTGAAATAAGACATCTGGAAAACAAAACAGACCTGACTGATGCCTGAATTTATGACCATAATTTGAATGCACATTTTAGCCGCATCAATCGCACAATAAAAGTGATGAAAATGAGTGTTGGCGTAACATGGCACTGATTATACGCAGCGTTTTGAATCCAGAAACATAGTGTAACATTCTAAGCGAGTAAATTATATATGTTTTAGTTAAGATGTCTTTAATTGAAATGCTCCACATCTGAAAATATTTGTCTCATGAATATAAATTATGTGAAGTTTCATACATTTTTTATAAGACAAAAATGCACAATTGTTTCACTATCGGCTAGACTTTGACAGTGGCAGCACCTGTTACAGAGCTCCAATCCATAGGGTTCTCTGCCCCAGAGTATGGACTCAAACCTGGGGCCTCCACTCCCACTGCCAATTTATCCATTGATCCCCCATCTTGGTTTCTGGGCTCAAATTGTTTCTTATATTTCTAAAAGACATAGATAAAAGAGGGTTAAAACAAATCAAACCCCAAACAACTGAATTAATAATGTTGTAAAACCCAACGTTACTGCAATTTAAAACAATACATATATTCCTGAAAGCAATGTATTCAAATCTTATTAAAATCTTGAAAACCCCCATAAACATGACAATATGTAAAATTCACTTGCACTTTTAAACATTTCAACGTTAACATTCAAATATATTTCTTTGAGCATAGTGATCTATGTGCAAAGAATAAAATTTGCTCGTTAACGTTGAAGACATATTGTTTAAGTTAAAATATACCTTAACATTTAAAGCAAATTCCAACAGTGCCAAATTTCAGACTGAAAATTGTTTACATAAGAATCTCACTGGGTTACTAGTGACATAGCAACACACATTAAATTCTGAGACCAATCAATATTAACAATAAGACTTTTTCTGATTGACGCAATTAAAAACGAAAGTACATACTCAACCTCAAAAACAATTTATTCAAGCTACATAAAATATTGTAAAACCCATTAAAATCCCCATGCATAAAATACTCCTACACTTTCACCATTAAAAGTTCAAAAATAAAATTTGAATGTTAACATTGAAGACATGGTGGTTTAAGTTTAAAAATAAATGTCTAAAAAAAATTGTAAAGTTGTCATTAAATGATAACTGTGAAACTTACTTTCAAACTACTGTAAATAAGACAAACCATTAAGAAAAAAAAGTTAATTTATTTCGGAGAGTAAAATAAATTCTTGACAATATATGTCATTCCAGTAAATTGTTCAAATGAATGAGTGTACCTTGTTTTCACGAGGTACACTCCAGTCTGTTTCACTCGACACTTTGCCAACCACAGTACTGGAAGTCGATGCCAATGCATGATTTGTTGAATGCCGACTTACACAAAGGATTTTGTAATGCTTTTTATGGAAAGGGGACCGAGAGTAACATGACAACTTGAGCGAAAAGGCGACTTATAAAAGCCGACTTAGACATAAAAAATTCGATGAAAATGCATTACGGACAATCGTGACTTTAGTCAGATGGCCGACTTGAGCAATTTGACGAGTTGTACGATGTTGGTTTAGCCGGAGTTTATTGTAGAATCCTAAAATTCATGTACACGTAGGTGCTGCAGAGGATTTTTGCTGTGACGGTTTTAAACCGTCATACAGAAAACACACTTACGATGTTCGTGTATGCTGTACTTGAGCGTTGCATTTAGAGTATATTATCCTAAATCAATTCTGTGAGATTTTATTACGTTCCCCAAATACGTACATGAATTCAAAATGTCTGCGTCCAGGATGGCTTCAAAGTATCTTGACCTTTATGCCAAATCAAACACTGGGTTAGTCTCCTTGGAAGAGTTTAAACGGCATTATTGTTATCCGAGGAACGCTCTCTGGATTGTGTTTGGGTCGGACTCTGGCGATGTTTTCTGATGTCGTAGCTCTCCCTACGTTTCTGCTCTGTGACTTCAGCTGTCCTCAGTGTCACGCCAAAGATATCTTCATGGTATCTGTTCTCATCCTGTATCGAATCATGCACATACAAAAAAGTACAGGCAGTTTCAGCTGGTTCAGTGTTGTACACAGAATTTTTTTTTGCTCAGCATATAATACATACTTGTGATGGCATGCACAGTAAACAGGGTGACCACGCCCCCCCCCCCAAAAAAAACCACCTTATTTGCAAGTTTTATTTTTCCATTTTTGAAGGATGTTTTGGTGCCTTCTCCGTTTTTCTGCTAATGCAAAGTTTCATATTCATTAGAATACCTGTGATGGCATTCCGGGCATGATTCATGTTACATGGCTATTTAAGCACAAAAAGGTTGCTAGAATTTTGGATATTTTGCTGTTATAAATTTCTTTCATTTGGTGATTCTTTGATGGTCAGTATGCATGGCAGTAAGCCAGTGAGCAACCCTTTCCCACAAATGTTTTCAATTAGCAAATTTTGGATGAATAATTTGAAAGAAAACCCCCAAAACTGAACAGTGTCTTCCTGAAATGACGTGACAGTAACAGCGCGCTCATACGTAGTCTGGAAAAGCATGGAAACTTTTAAATGTTTGACCCTAAAAGGGCCGGTTGTTTTGACCATCTCTCAGCCGAGGGGCAGATTTTCGGTCCCTTTAGGGTTAAAGAAGTGCACTTTTGCAATAAGATTAACCCAAAAATGTTGTCAAATGTGAAGTTTTCGTACATTTCACAGTAGTAAAGAGTTGCACAAAAAAAATTCCTGAGAAAAATCATGATTTATGCTAAGGAATACGTACACGTATGAATTCTTAAAAGATGTTTGACAAAATGTGAAATATGTTTGCCCATTAATGAAACGAATGCCCGATCAACCCCTTACTGCTGGTTTAGACGAAATTGAATGAACAACGCGATACTTTTAATATGAATGCATCTTTTACAGGGAGGAGTGAAGCTATAAGGCGATAGATTGCTTGGATAGTGAAATTGAATGATTCTTTTTGATTGTCGATGCCGATCTGCGTGTTCTTTCAATTTCAATCTAAATCGAATGAGCCAGGTGTTAAATTGAAGGAAAAATTGGTGAAATTGGCCGGGAAAACCTATATTTTAGCATATTTATGATGCTGAAAAGGTTTTTAAATAGGACTAAAAAGATGAGATACCTGTTCAGGTGGAAAATAAAAGGTATTTCCATCAAATTCGTTTGTACTCTTGTCATATGTGCTGTGTTGTTTGTAAGGATCAGGACAAGCACACAATACATTGTAGGTGCAGTGAAAATCCTATGGTATTTTTTGTGTTTAAAGACAAAAAAATACTACTTTTACATCACTGGCATTTACTCGACAACTATTTGAAAGAAAAATCTCTCAGCTTTAATCTGATACCCAAAACATACAAATCCACCAATCTATTTTTCTTTAAGGCATTTGTTTTAGGGTTGCATTTTTGGGGGTCATTTTTGGGGGGTCTCCCTGTGTATTCAAGGTAATGGAAATACTTGCTTTTTGTGCAACAATGTTCATATGTGCCTTTAACATTAACTGTACACCAATGTTGGTTTGTTAATCTAAGAAAACATTTGAAATGACTTTTATTTGTTTAGTACGAGCTATGTGATAAAAACAGAAAACGCTTCTCCAGAATTCACTTTTGTGTTAACCCCCCCCCCAAAAAAAATAATATTGGCTCTAGAACCGTGCCTGCTCAGATATAGTACCAAGGAGCTATGACTGTTCCACTGTTCCAAATTCTAAGAACAATACATTTCTGAATTTGCGGAAAAGGCATTATATCAGAATGTCCGTTTTATCTGTCCCAAACACTTGAAATAATATTTATAAAATCAGCTGCTTGTGAAACCAATCCCTTCATTTATGTGTTTGAAGCATTTTATATGTTGTATCAGGAACTGATCAAGTGTCATGCTGGCAGCTGAAATTGCTATGAAGAACACTTGCTTTCCCAAACAAACTCTACTGGACCTATGTATTTATAACTGCAATTTGCAAACTTATTTTGCAAGTTTGTTTCACTATAAATCCCCAATTGTCTGAGACCTTTTAACGTGAGTTGAAGTGTCTTCAATGAGTGCCCGATCACTGGAGGAAAGATCTGAAATTCTACAAACTCTTTTACAAATTTAAGACATTTAAATCAATGCAAATAATTTTTTTTTAGACATTTGAGAAAACCCACCCTAAGGCCAGTCACCCAATATTTGGCCTCTTCATCTGACATCTTGGCAACATCAACCCCGATGGACTGAATGACTTTGCTGACATCGGCTGCCATGGTAACATCCCCGCAGACGTATATGTGTCCCCTTAATCTGGACAGTAACTCAAAGACTTGGTGGGCATTCTGGAACAAGAGGTCCTGCACATAAGCCTGCAACAGATATTTAAATTAAACTGAATAAATGTCATATCATTAAAAACACAGAAACTCCTAGCCTTGATTACAAGGCTGTGCTGTAATAATAATAATAATGGAGTCTTATATAGCGCACGTATCTACCAACAATTAGGTACTCAAGGCGCTGGAGATATGTCTATTATTAAAGAAAGGTAAATAAAGTTTATGAGAAATATGAGACCCATTATGTAGCACCTTATAATGGTTTACAAGGTGCTGCGGCACACATTGCAGCCACTGCCAGAAACACCGGGGCAAACCCCTTCTCTTAGCGATAAGTGTTACTGGGTTCTTTAACGTGCATAACACAACACACAGGACCTACGGTTTTACGTCCCATCCGAAGGACGAAGCAATAATGATAAAGTGCCTTGCTCAAGAGCACAAGCACCATGTTCCCACGGTCAGGATTCGCACCCATGTACCACGGCACACGAGTCGAACACCGTAACCATTGGACCACAGCGCCCCACTGTATCAGCGGGCACGCATCATGAGCCACAGCTTACCTGGCTCTAGCCACATGCACACACACACAAAGAAACCCCACAGCGTTGCCAGGCTCTTTTCTGGGGGGTGGGGTGGTACAAAGCACTTCATTTCCAAAAATCCTTGTACTTTCTCTGGCATATTCTCCATTTATCATTGTTTTTGAGAGAGGGCGGGGGACATTTGCCCCCATCCCCATTGACATACCTGCGGACGCCCATGTTGTTAAATGTGCATTAAATTAACAGCAATATGACTTCGCACATCCTTTTCTTTCCCCCCCCCCCTTTTTTTGTTTGTTGCTTTTCCAGGTGGGGGGGGGGGGGGGGGGCGACGCCATGCCCATAGCCCGATCCGATCTACTTACCTGTAGAGCAATATTACTTATGCATATTCCCCCTACCGGCAGGTATTTTCTGCTAAGAGTTATATACAATAGCGCCCTCTGGCGCCCTACCCATAATACCCTGCGGCATGCGTGCCTCGTGAGCGTCCTCTTTTCTCTTAGCGGCAGGTCGGGTAGGACGTGTGTAAAATAGCTCCTGTTTTCCTCGTCAATTTACTACCCTTTTTCGCTTAAGAGAAGTTTATAATAAAAGAGTTAATAAAACAACAGTTTGTAGAGTTTCTCATCATCTTCTTGGTTGTATTTATTTGATTATTATGAACCGATCTGTCACAAAACCGAGGGGAATTCCTCTCCCACGGGATGGACCGAGTTCTCGGGGGACTCTGCCGTTAACGGTACGTCGTTACCGCGGCAGCAGTCCCTCGTCCAGCACCCTTAGCCTGCACTGCCGGCTGGGGGCGTTGGCAGTTCCGCTGACCAGTTAAGGGGACCTCGGTCTCCTTCTCCAGTCAATTCAAGCGGAACACCCAAACTAAAGGCACACTCCGGCAAGGTTCCTCCAAAACATATCTCCTGTGCCGGAGCAAAGCCTAAAAAGGGCCGTCAGGGCAAGCGTGGCTCGGGTACGAGCACCGCTGTATCGCCTGGCCCTCCCCCGATCACGGGGCAGCCCGAGGGGACTAACCGCCACGTTTCAGTGGGCTCTAGTCACCCATGCCCTCCCGACACAGTGTCGAGTACCACTGGTTGCCGGGATGGGCTATTGCACGGGCTACCGGACCGTCCAGCGCTCGCTCAGCCCCCGTGGGCCCACGGGGCCTGAGGTACTGTCGGCCGGGTACGTTATGAGCGATGCGGAGCCGGTCACCCGGGGGGATCCCGGACCAACGGCCCTCGTTCTATCTCGCTCTGAGGGACCACTCTCGTCATCGGGTTTTTTTCGTTGCTCGGGGGTCCCGGTGCCCCAGGTGTCTTCTGACTTGTAGTCAAACACACCCTGGGGCCGTTCTTCAAAGAGGAAGAGCAAGAAGAAGAAAGCTGATCGCCGATCACGCCGTTCTTCAGATTCTGACGGTTCCTCTGACCGGTCCCACCGGTCCCAAACGCTCCTGACGTGAGGACTCGATCTCGAGGTCTGTTTTCCTGCAGGCATTTCAGTCGATTTTACCTACACTATCGGCTATGTCTGTAGGACGCCAGGCGGGCCCTAATGGTGGCCCCCCTGGAGTGGCGAGCCACGCCCCACAACCCTCGGTTGTTGGTCTCGCCTTACAGTCTCGCCTTACAATGTATGTCTATGATCTCCGAGGGTGTTGCCCAGCCACCACCGCGTGGTTCTGTACAACTAGCCCCTCCAGACGGCTCTCAGTCACCGGGGTCATTTTGGCCTTCGCATTCGGCTGATTCATCCAATGATGACGAAGAATCAGACCGGTTACAGCGGCTGTCCATCGTGGAAATGGAACTCCGTTTGCTGCAGAGGGACATTACACGAGTACTTAAATTACCCTCCGCCGATGAGCCCCCTCCGCCCGATCACATATTTTTCAAATCAAGCGCAGGACGGGCTCCACATCTAACAATGACAAGGTGTTCCCCATACCTCCGTTGGATCAAGTGTGAAACACATCGACAAGGGACAAAATGGTGTCCATTTCTCGGCGGGAACGGCTTCATTATTTTTTCTAATCCGGGCGAGTTTATTGCACCGATCCCACCGCGGCATACGCTACCGGGATGAGGACTCGGTTTTTCGGCCCACTCATTACAAGCCTTGCAATTGTTCTCGGCTTCATTATCGGTCATATACATTTATACATGTACATGTATTGCCTGGCGGGCACGTTAATGAAACATCCGTCTGAGTTCAGTTGCGAGCCGTGAACTCTGTAGCCTTCTACATTAATCACGGTTGGGTGACTCAAGGACAATGGGACACGCCACGCAGTGCTTAGCCATGCGGCGGTGTTTCTTGCTGTACTGAGATCGCTACATTTTTCATGTACATGTACATTGTACATGTGTGCATTACTTGTGTGTACACTGTCCATTGTCTCCGAGGGAGTTGTTCAGCAACTGACTGTGGCCTTGTGCAACTCGTCCCTCCAGATATGTTTTACGGTTCTCGTTTACGGGGTCTATTCGACTCTTGCATAAGGATGGTTCATCAGATGGCAGCTGCTCTTCACAATGAACCCTAGTCTGGGCATAACCTCAGCGACTGGGTGTTGTGATACTTCCATGGTTCAGGCAGGTTGTGGACCACATTCAAAAGATTGTGCCTGTATTCAAACTGCCTGCTGCTCTTCAAGCAATAATGTGATCATTACTGTTTTCCGTTAGCGAAATTCGGTATTTTTTGGTCACATCTTCCCTCTTCAATGCAGCTGAGCACAAGCTACCAGCAGTAGAGGGACCCCATTATTCAAGCGGCTCTTCGTAAATAGTACTCGCAGAAGTAGAATACACTTTGCAGTAGAATTAAAGTGGGCTCGGCGATACGCGTTCAGCCTCCCTCTTTATCCTCATGAAGTACATTATGTTTAATGTTTTAATCTTGACTCGACAGTCTTAGCGGACGTATTGACCGCTATTTTCACTGTCAATTTCACGGTCTGCACTCAGTACTCTATAATTTTACACGAGTGCAGACCCTAGCAATCTTGGCCTGCCGGGGTAACATGCTTGATGAACTGTTTCTCCCATCAAAGGGCATCCGCCAAAGATTCGAGTCCCACCTTTTAAGTTTTTAACGGACAAAGATCTTTTCTTTTGCGGTGGATATCGATGTTAACATCCATATTGGTCGATGTCGACTACATGTACTCAGATGGTCAATCTCAGATAGCCATCAACCCCACGGTCAGGCCAGCGCAGGTGAAGAACAAACAGTTGTTTGTTTTCTCAACTGCATACCTCTTGAAGTTTGCCCAGATGATTTTGTGTGGCCGTGCTAGCAACATTTTCTGTACGCCATGCCACATAGGATAAGGCCTTCACTGGTAACAACGATTTCGATTCGGCTTCAGTTGTTTTGATGACTTCCATAAGTGACCTACCTGACTCATGACGACCTCCACCCATCTGTCTCGTAGGAGCTCGTCAGAGAGACTTTGAGGCTGACATCAATATCATCGGGCCAGCACAGTGTTGCGCCCGTCTTGTATTTCCCTTGGGAAGATGTTGATGAGATTTAGTCGACTGTCTAACACATCAGCATGGGGAACGAGCCCTGGCCTGAAGGGTACACAACTGCAACTCATTTTCAGGCCAGAGCACTGAGAATTTCACGGTTTTCAAACAAAGATTCTTGCTGCAACTTTATGGTGGCTCCATCCAGCCTTTTTTCCGCCTCACTCCTGGCCTCTGCTCAGATAGTAAAGGCGATATGACTGCGCTGTGGAAACAAAGATTGTTGGCATTCACCTATTTGCTTGTATCGGCCCAGTCCTCACTGCATTCAGTGCAGGCCATGACCTGACTTGTGCAGCACCTCCTGTGGTTCGACGTTGCCAACCTCACAAGGGTGGGCCTCTCACAGATTGCAGCCATCACTAACTGTCATGGCAGACATGTTACCCTGCCAGTTAACTGCCCACCACCCGCATCTAGTGGCGGATTGGTGAGGCCCTGTGTGAGCATCATTCAAGTTCCATTAACATACTCGAGATGCTGGCAGTCTCAGAGAAACTGCGATGTTACTTTCTATATTTGGTGTTGTGCCAGATGATCCTGGTTCGATGTGACTTTGACACGGTTGTGGTTTACATCGACGACCAGGTGGGCAGGCAGCCTGCACAACTGTGTACACTCACTTGAGAAATACCCCATTGGGGTTTTCCTCATAGCTTCTTGTTTCGACGGTCCTCCTCCCAAGCAAGGACAACTAACCAAATGTCAATCTGACTTGTTTCATGAACTAGTCACAGATTTCCAGGCTAATGCCTGAGGGTTCCTGACCCCCGCACATGGCACACAAATACGATGGTGATGAAGACGGACAGGCTACTTGTATACACCTTCCTGTCGTCTTCCTCTTATCCCTCGGGTACTTAATCAACTGGAGCAGAAGGATGACAAGGTCCTCTTCTTAACTCCATGTTGACCCCATTGATTGGTTTTCCAGGGCTATAAC